GGGGGGGGGGGGGGGGGGGGGGCAGCAGGGCTGGGTGGGCCCTGGTGTTGTGGGATCTTGCCGGGTTTCCCCTGGGTCCTACTGCCCTTGGTTCTTGTCATTTTTTTTTTACAGGAACCAAGGGCAGATAGATATTTATTTTCTAAATTTTTTTAGGGGCCCCGCAGGCCAGATAGAATGGCCTTGTGGGCTGGATTTGGCTGGTGGGCTGGATTTTGCCCACCCCTGCCCAAATCATATACCCGTTGTACATTGAAGCAATTGTTCTGAAGATGGATAGAGGCCATTTGACATTGAAATTATTTTTTATGTACATTTGAAGTTTTGGTGTTTTTTCAAGAGCTCCTTTACTAATTTTTCTAAAGAGAAGAGATGTTCATCTGCATCTTCTGGTACAAGACTTCTCATGGAACTGGCAAGTTCAAACAGGTATTCTGTGTTTCTTCCACTAGGACCAACTGCATTAAGAATTTGTTCAGCAATTTCTTCCAGAGGTGCTGGACCAAGGTAGTTAGGATTATCATAAGTTCCAATATATAATAATACGTTAAACGGTTTTATTGAGGGATCTTTTGGATAGAAAGTGACAGCTGTTGTTCTGTAGCCTCCTTTCTCCCTGAAGTCAAGGTATGCCTTTACTTGACATTCTTGTCCTGAGGGCAGTTTGTAAGCAACACCCCATACGCAGCCCTGTTGAAGAACATAACCATAGGGGTAAACTGAAGTAACGTTAAAAACGCTCTAGCAAATCACCATTTTTGTCAATAAAACTCTTTAAGAAACTAAGAATTAAAATCCTCCTAGGTTGTAGTTGCTTTCTGCAACCAGTTACTACTTTGTGCTGCGTTCTCCTAAATCAAATGGTTGTGTTTTGCTTAGCAGCTTTTAATTGAAATTTAATAATTTTACAGAATTCTTTGTGCATTCTCTTGCTGATGATGAACCCAGCTTAGGAACTGAAGAACTTAATACAGTTATTTCTACTTGCAGAGACAGGTCCTCCAGGAATTGCAACTAATTTAATGCAGTAAAGACTGAGGCTAATACCACTTAGTGAATGGCAGCTAAACAGTTCATTCAAGTACAAAATTAAAGTTTCTCAACTGCACCAAAATAGCAGATTTAAAGATAAGTTTCTTGGCCTGGTAGATTGAAAGTTTTTAGGTGTTTCTTACTTTAGAGTACTTTATTCTGATATAAATATTCTATAGGATGTATGTAGTATAGGTACCACAGGTGTACAGGATTAAAAAAGAAGGGTGCCTATTTCAGTGCATTGGAGCAGAGTCAGTTAATTGAGTCTCCTGGAGTATGGCAATTACCACACTCCAGCAACCTCCTCTGTCTCCGTGTATCGGTATCCCTGCGCTTCAAAATGGCGGTGGGGGTGCTTTATCTAAAGCTCATTCAGTGAGTATTAAAGTGCCCCCACCACCGTTTTGAAGCGCAGGGATGCTGATACACAAGACGCTCTGGGCACTTTAATTAGAGTGGCTATTGGATGGGGGATCTACAAGAGCCACTCTAATTAAAGCGCCCCCCACTCCTGGAGCACGTGCATAAACGCCCAATGAGTCCACCAGATTACATTTCAGACTTAATTTTCCATCTAAACCTTCTATTATGGAGCATCCAACAGTGTTGTTATCAGAATTGGCATTAACAACTTTTTTGAAGTTTAACAATTTTGATGTCTTCAAAGCCACGATTCCCAGAGTTTTATTTAATTATAGTTTAAGGAAGGCACGTGCCTTCCCTTACCTGTTTTCATAGACAAACCCTACTGACACAGGGGAGTTCTGCATAGAGTACAGTGACATCAGTGCTATGCCGTGGCACTTGTAGGGAGTCAGTGTCTGTTTGTCTCCATCCCCGATGCAGACTTAAATTGTTTTGCACCTTTTTCCAGTATGTTCTCTATCTGTTTGGTCCCCTGCAGCTTTTCAGTAGGTGAAGACAAGTCATAATGCTTTGCAGAAGTGCACAGGAATAATCGTTTTCTCTGGCACTAAACTGGTGCACAAATTGTTGGCACTTATGCAACAAGGTGATAGAAACATATGTGTGATTTTTTTTTTTTTTACATTAGACCATCTTCAACTAATGTTGTACTTCAGCTGCTCTTGGGGGATTCAGTTGTAGAAGTTTTTGAATTTTACAGCTAACAGACCATATTTTAGCCAAAGTAATCTTTTATGATGAGAGAAGTTAAAACAAAACAAATGCAATTTATATTTCAGTTAGAAAAAGAAACTATTGCATTGTAACAGTTACTTATCCTGTCTTGAATTCTGTTATTTCCTTACCTTTTTTTAGGGGGTCAAAGAAACTTTCCTATTTTATTTCCCTTTTTAGGTAATTGTAACTTTGTCTTGGCCCTTCAAGATGAGGAATACCAAATTACACATTCCCAACCTAATTTACCTTCCCAAGCTTCAACTTTGTAATGTGAATAAGCTCTAAGGGTTCAGATGCAGGAAGCTTGCTCATTTCTAAGCTCAAGTCTGTTCACAGAGCTCTTGAACTAACTATGCTGATTATTCATGCTCTGATGTAGACACAATTAGAATGTGTGAATGTGCATAAAGCATAATGTATATATTCTTGTTGCAACAGCACTTAATGCTGTATTAACCAAAGTGTATTTATTTGGTTTTGTATCTAGGAAAGCCATGCGTCAGATGCATCAAAGGAGAGAGGATTATATCTGACAATGGCAAGGTTTCAAAGAAAAAGTTCTCTCTTCCTTTCCTTGCTTCCTTTTGTCATGAAGTGGAAATTTTAAAAAGGAGAAACTTAAATCAATTCTAAGATACTTTCAAATGAATGTTACTTTTATGAATTTATTCTTGTTTCAAAGCAACTTGTGCAGAATTTTAATAGAAACAGATCAATTACATCAGCTGATGGCTTGTCTATAATATGTTAAGATGGATAGCCCTGGAGTCGCAATTAAAAGTATAAATTGATTATTTCCTCTGGGGAAAGAGACTGCTGCAGTAACAAAGAAGTTTGTCTATCAATACAATTAAAGTGAAAATGCATAACCAGTCTTTGCTCATATGAGTCTCTCTGTAATATAATGGTGTCCAATAGTAGTACTATGGTGTGGAAAACACCAGAAAGATACAGAAAGTCATGACAGTCCCTGTACTGCAGTTCGCTTATTTTGCCAACTACAAAACAGTTAAGTTTATGATTACTGTTACATTTGCCTTTATCTGTGGCTACCATTCTAGGGAAGCATCAGCTTTACAGGTATTGTGCCCTGATTAAATAGTAGGGCTGTGCAAAGCTTTGGTAGCTGCCTCAATTAGGAGGAGATTTGGGGGCCAAATCTCTGAATCCGAATTGAATCAGGAGACCTATTACAAGATTCAAATTGAATCCAAAGCCTCCGAATTGATTTGGGAAAGATTTGGAGAGATTTGGATTGGTCAGGGAGAGGCAGGCACAGCTGAGTGGCTGCAGGTTTTCCTGTGGCTCCTCTGGCTGTGCCTGCCTCTCCCTGGGTGGGGGGAGCTGTGGGAGAAGCCCCCATGGCTGCCTTGCCCAGCCCCATCCCCTGCCCAGCCGCAGCCTCCCAGCACTTAAAAAGCCTTGTACTCATCGGCTCTGGCAGCAGGGATTGGGGCCTCTGGGTGCTCATGGTAGAGCCCCACTGTGCAGTGTGAGGGGCAGTGGGGATCGCCCTCCCCTCTACCTGGCATCTGTGCGGCAGCTGCCCCATGGTGCAGATGCAGCATGGCTCTGCAGGGTACCGTGCGCTGTTTGGGAGCTGGGGCAGCTCCATGTATTAGCTGGAGCCCAGCTCCAGTGACCCCAGCTCCCAGGCAGTGCACGGCGCCCTGCCAAGCTGCGCCTGCACCATGGGGCAGCTGCCGCATGGGTACCAGGTGGGGAGGGTGATCCCCACTGCCCCACACTGCGCAGGGCGGGGGGCTCTGCCACAAGCACCCAGAGGCCCTGATCCCCGCTCTTGTAGCTGGTGAGTGTGGGGCATTTTTTTTTGTTTAATTGCCGGGAGGCTGGGCTGAGTGCGTGTGTGTGGGGTTGACTGGGGAGCAGGGACTGCGTTGGGGGGGGGGTGGCTCTGCCAGGAGACTCCAGAGCCCTATGCAGCTGCTGCTGCAGCTGTGAATGCGGGGCTTTTTTATTTTAAGTGCCAGGAGGCTGGGTTTGGGCAGGGGATGGAGCTGGGCAGGATGGCCATGGGGGGTCTCCCACAGCTCCCCCCCACCCAGAGAGAGGCAGGCACAGCTGGAGGAGCCATGGGAGAACCTGCAGACGCCCAGCTGTGCCTGGCTGCCCCTGACCGATCTGAATCTCCAAATTGGTGCTGAATCTCCGATTCTGATTTGGCCAAATCGAGTGGGGAGAGTGATTCGAATCACCGAATTGAATCACTGTCCTCTGAATCAGCTGAATCCAAATAGAATACTTCCCTATTTGCCACAGGCCTATTAAAGAGTCATTCAAGCTAGGGTGAGTATGCACTGTTATACCAAGCATGAGGTCTGTTTTGATGAACTGTTTCTGGAGTGCCCAGGGTCTTGTACATTTGAACCCAATTACACACAAAGTTAACTTTAGCTGGTAGCAATTGCTAATGTGCAAAATTAAAAATGATCCTTCCCCCCACAATATCCTTCACCAGTGGATTACAGACTGCTTCTGCTTGTCTGATATAGTGGGACTTAAAACTGAATTCTACTTTTTTTCTCCCTTTGCACGTTACCTCACTTTAATTTTTGTGAAACATTTTGTCTGATGTACCCCATCTATTCACTGAGCTGAGCAGTGCTCTGGGACTTAGAGTGCTTTTGGTGCAGAGGTATTTTGCTTGTCAGCTTTTTTTCCCCACAATTAACCAATCTATCGCACATCCTGATTAAAAATCTTTCCTCCCTTGAATGTGAGGATAAGAGATACCATGCTGCGTGAGACAACAGGTCCATCTAGTCCAGGATCCTGTATCTTGCAGTGGTGGAATGCAGATGCTAAGGGAAAGATGGTTTCTGTAGGGCATCTCCAGACTTCTCTCTCCTCCCCTGTGTCCATTCCCCTACATACACTATTCAGGAAGGAAACCTAGGAATTTCAAATTGGAGGGTTCACACCTAACCAAACCATTCACTGCTGAACCTATCCCTGGGTAAATCTGTATAGTCCTCTTTTGACCCTGGTTAAATTCCCAGCCTCTACATTGTGTGACAGTGATGTCACAATTTACTTACACATTCTGTGAAAAAGGACATCCTTGCTTGTTAAATCTGCTACCTATTGATTTCATAATTACGTCCCCCAACTCTAGTATTGCGAGAGATAGCAAATAGTAAATCCCTGTTGAATAGACCTCCATCCTATTTGCCCCAAGTCATCTTTCTAAGCTAAAAAGCCTTAGCTTGTTTAGTCGCTCCTCATATTCCCCATATTCTCATCATGCCCCTGATCATTCTTGTTGCCTTTATCTTTGTACCTTTCCTAATTCTATATATCCTTTTTGAGGTTGGGGCACCAGAACTGCAGCATTCAAAATGTGATCATACCACAGATTTTATGTCAATAATAATTTCTGTTTTTATTCCTCTCTGTCTGGATATCTGGAAAATTCTGTATGTCTTCCCCTGCAGCCAAATGGTTTGTGGCAGTTGTGCAGACCCTAACATTTTCACTGTGGTAGTTGGGAGCCAAAAGGGAAATTCTCCTTTGCAATCTCATAGTTTATGAGGTTCACAAATCTTTGATGGTTTAGCAACCATAAGCAAATTTAGGTTGGGTAAGGCTGTTAGGTTAGGGGAATGTTTGCAAACTATATTGAAACATTTTTTTTTCTCCCTTCTAAATTAAGGAAGCTCTTCTGATCTGCTTCTGCTGAAATAAATCAGAATGTTTATGTAGCTGATGCAGAAAAATCTAAGCAATAGCTGGTCAGGAATTTTCTGATATCTTTTTTGTCATAAAATGCAGATCTATCAAAACTGTTCATAACAGTTCTTGTGAGAGAAATATTCTCATCAAAACCAGACGGAGAGAGCAGACATCCCCCTCCCCCTGCCCCCCAATGGCTCAGTGGCTAGGGCATTCTCCAGAAGTATGAAAGCAAGAGCTGAGACCTTGGTCCAAATCAGACAGAGAAGGAACTTAAATTGTGCTTTCCTGTGTCCCAGGAGAGCACCTTAACCACTAAGCTATTGGTTACTGTGAGGAAAGGTCTAGTGGAATTTGAACAAGTATCTCTTTAATTTAATTTCAAACCATCTCTCTTTCCTTCTGAAGTGAATGGGAAAACTTAAAATACTGTTGGAGAACTCTTTCCTGTTCAGCTCAAATGCAAGAACATGGATTATTCACATATCTTTTGATAGACTAAAAATGGCTCTAAAACTGGTCTACAGACCCCTGACAATTTCTGGAGCAGTTCTAGATGATTTATAGAAAATTGCTTTGGCCTTGATAGTGAAATACCTGTCAGTCTTCAAACAATGTTCCTTCAGACTAGTTATAACATGGGATCCTGCTTGTTTTTTAAGGGTTTTGGAACCCTGTAGAACAGTGGTTTCCAACCTTTTTAGGTTAGAGATCACTTCTGGAATTTAAGAGGAACTGAAGATCTACACCTTCCCCCCCACCCCCACAGGTAAGTCTGTGGGGAGGGAAGTGGGGAGAGGAAAGGCCCATGGGGGGGCAGATCGAGGCCCCAGCCCTACCCCGCTCCCTCACTGCTGGGGCCTTGATTTTCCCCCCTCACCCCAACAGCAGTGAGGGAGTGACAAGGCCCGCACAGCCGGGGTGAGGCAGGTGACAGAGCCATGAGTGGCTTATCTGGGGGGTGTGAGGAAGGAGGGGCATGCAGCCCAGGAGGTCAGGGGGGTGCATGCCCCTGGATCTGCATCTGGGGCTAGGGCAGTGCTGGGCTTTTCCCAGCTAAGCTGCGCTCAGGTTGGGTGGCTGCGGGGCCGTGGGGGGGCATCCCCACTCCCAGCGCAGTACGGGCCAGGTCTGGCAGGAACACCCAGGCCTGCCCACAGGCAGCCTTACAGCCAACAGCAGCAGCCCACCAGCCCCCATGTCCTTGGTGGGGGGAGGGGAAGGCTGTGCTTGACTATTCCTGCAGGGCATGGCCCTGCTCCCAGTGCCACTGCTGCAGCCACCTGGCCTGAGTGCAGCCTGGCCAGGAAGAGCCCAGCGTTGTCCCTGCCCCCATGTGCAGATCTGGGGGCAGGTACACCCCCCGGATGAGCCACTTGTAGTTCCGTTCCCCACCCCACCCAGGCTGTGCAGGGCTTGCCCACACTCCCTGCTGGTGCTCCCTGCATTTGGGGGGGGGGCATGTCCCCCCCACCCCCGATTTGTGTGTAGTGGAGGTGGCTGCAGCTGCAGGCTGGGCTTTGCACCATGAGCCCCACTGCATGTGCTCCCCAGACCTCCACCCCTTCCCTCCCCCACTGAGTGACCTGCTGGGCTGGGGGCGGGACATGCACATGTGCATGCACGCATATGCTTAGCTCCTCCCCCCCCACCCAAGATCGACTTGAAGAGGCTCTGGGATCCACCTGGTGACCACTGCACTAGAAAATGGGACCTCTGGTGTTTTTCAGGGTTTTTTTGGTTTGTTTTTAAGACAATATTGACAGAATCTACCACTTTATCTTGTAGTATTATCTGCAAGCTACTTTGGTTTAAATTTAACCATAATCAAGTTTCTGGTTGAATTAAAGTTGGTGCAGAAAATGCTAAGGAGACTAGAACTACAATTTAAAGTGATCTTGCCGAACTGGAGTGGCGGGAACTAGTCAGGTGGGAGGCTGGGTACTAAGAAGTTAAAAATTCAACAAGAAAGGCAAAATTCAACACACAATACACTTTAAATACAGTCACATGACTAAAGAGTTGTACTAATTGTAATAAATTTTAGTTTTGTCTTGTTTCCGTAAGTCTGGCCTAGTACATTGCCTTGTAATCAAGCAATGCTACTGCTTTAAAAGAAGTGTGGGAAAACATAATGTCTACAAGACTCTTGAGATTAATTTCAGAACTTCTCATTATCAAGTAGCATGTGGTCTTCACAGTCATTTTCTACTGAGGGTCACAGTGCTTAACACAGCATAGTATTGCTTATCAGTCATTTGTAGGAATTGCATACTAATTGGTGTATGGACTGAATCCCTTAGGACCACATACAATATACATTTTTAAAAGTATTGTCTTAGCTTGTATGAGGTCTTCAGCTGGGAATCTTACAGTGGAACAATTAATGTAGGAAAGAGCTGTAGGGCCAGGCTGTGATAGAGATCTATGCTGTATTGTCACCATCTGGCAAAGCTGGACATGAGGGTAAAATTTAAGAAAGTGTTTCTCTTCCCCCTCTGTCAGCCCCCCCATTGTTATGTACAAAACCTGTAACTTTTCTGACTTACATAGTCACAAATGTAAGGCTTCATTCTGTTTCTGTCACTCTTTCCATGCCTTGAGTAGTACTTTCATCAGCAAATACTCTTACTTGAGATGAGTAAGAGTAACAGAATCAGGTCCTTACACCTTTTTCTGAAGAAGAATTTTCATTCACATTCAGGGTTCAGTAGAAAACAAAATGATAAGAATTATAGTTGAGGGATTACATTTCATATTGGTATAAAAAATTAAGCAAGGGTATGTCCTGTTTTTATTAGGATTTAGTCTTGATACATGCCAAGTTTTATTTTGTGGAAGAAGTTTTATCAAAACAGCCAATATTAGTAATAGCTGCCAGGTGCTACAAATTTACTTAAACAGGGTGGTTAACTTGACTGTTCAGAAGCATGCTTAGAACTCTTCCTTTATTGAAATAATAAAGCTAATATACTTTCTAATTGCTTACTTACAGACTGCCTAAAATGTATCTGCTGAAATCCATAGTTTCAATTTTGAGACTGATGGGAAATCTGAGAACATGCTTTGACAGCAAAAAAAATAATTATTTATTTACATTTTAAAGATAAGAACATGCTGTTTCATAATGATGTATCGAACAAGTGGAATCCAGGAAAATATTCTGTGTGCTATAAAGACTGTTTATAAGGCAGTGTACTGTACCTCTGGATCTTCAACAAGAGTCACAACTCTTCCAGGCTAAAAATTAAAAGAAATATTGTAGTTCAGTGAAAAGCATTCTCTGTCAAATCATTAGCAAAAGTGGACAGTGAAAAAGCATATTTTTCCCTTAAAGATGTAGAACTAAAACTAAGGAGCTCTTTAAATGATTGAGGCCTAGCAAGTTTATTTTATGTGGTAAAGAGTTTTTTTTATCAGTTTTGGCAGAGGATAGGGGCGTATGTTGTAAGAAATGAAATTTGAGATGTTTTTTAGGGGGAGAGTGGCAGGGAAATATGAGGCTAAGATTAGTCTGTAAAATAAAGTGTTTGAATTATCCTTATTTTCAAGTATACCGTTTAGAACCATCCCTGTTGCCATTTTGTGTGGTAGTTTTATGACTTGGCTATACAGTATTGTGTCCTTTATGGCTCTCAAAAAACTTCAGACTTCTACAAACAAATTTTAATTTTTAATCTACATTTTGTGTACATTTCCAGCTCATGTCTATTTTATATAAAGACAAGGTAATTCCTTTTCCTTGCTTTCACTTTCAAGATGTATTTGTACCACTATTTAACTGAGAGCATAGTATATTATATCTTTACTTACAGTATGAAGAAGAAAACTAATTGACTTATTAACTTATTAATTGACTTTCTGTTGCTGGTCTTTTTTATTTTATTTTACAGATGATAGTTTTTCAGGGGAGGACAAAAATTAAGTATGTCTTGGTGATGCATTATAGGCATCTTGGTTCACAATGAAATGCATATACTTTTTGTGATAAAAGAACCTGCAGTAGAGTTAATGTTCTGTAATACTTCAAGCTACTGTTTTTATTACTAATGAATGATTTACCTTCTAATTACCAACTGGTACATAGGGAAATGTTTGTTTTGTTGTTGGTGGTTTTTTTTGGCTTATTAAATAGCTACGTCTAGCGTTCCAGTAATAAGAGAAGCGGAAGGGATTTGATTCGTCTGATATTCCCAGCAGATACAAGTTATTAGGTACAACTCTTGTCTTCACCCAAATGGTTTATAGTTCTTGCTGATTTTCATGCAAGCTCTGGAAATGCTGAAAACAGTTTTGCCATAATTCTGGTTTAAATTGTGCCACACTTCTTATCTAGAGAGAATATATGGTTATAATACCCTGTCCATACTGGAGCTTTTTGATGTAAAATATAGTTCTTAAAGGCTGGTGTTTTATCTGACTATCTGTGGAGAGTGGAGGTTCTAGGCTGATATACTTTGACCCCAGTACTCTTTTCTGCCATGGCAGGGGGTCGGACTAGATGATCTTCTCAGGTCCCTTCTGACCCTAGAAACTATGAAACTTCCATTATGATACTGAAGTCGCTTGGGAATTGCACGTCCACAGGTGGGGAGGTAAGGGCCAGTTAGAGAGTCTCTCTCTGTTTTAAGCTGCAAAAGTAAAGTTTAGCTAAACAGGAATGAGGTTTGATCTGTCAGTTTGAATGACCACCACCTGTCCCAGCTATTTGGCAGCAGGTCACCAACAATGAGGACAAGATGCAAATGGCCCCTATCCATGCCAGGTCCAGCTTGTTGCTGAAGTGGGCCACTGCCCAGGCAGCCATGTGCTGGGCCTCTGCACCCTGGGATATGTTGACCAGCTGGACTGCCTCTATTATAGTAGTAGGTTGTGTATGAAAACTCATGCTTCTCTGAGCCAGTTAGCGTCTAAGGTACTCTGCCCAACCTTCTGCCTGACTTGCATAATGCAAATTCCTTTCCAGATTTAGAAAAGAAAAGCAAAACACATAATCACAGGATGTAGTATGGACCTCAAGGGTCATCCCACACAATACCCTGCAGCGATGCAGGAACGTATGCACACATGAAAAAAATGCAATATTGAAAAATGGGAAAAGACACCCTCTATCTCTGCTGGACCTGAACATTTTTGTTTATAATCCCTAAGGGTCAGGGTGTCCATTTTCCAAGCAGCTCTGGTTAATGAGGTTTCACCCTTCTAAGGGATTGTTCATTCATATAATGAATTAACTTTTGAATCTTTTGCTTTATTTGTATGTGTATTAAACAGGCATCCTATGATTTTTAAAGCCCTTTTTCTTTTCTACAGGAAACAATTTGTTCTTCTGTATTCCTAACTCTAGTTAGCATGCCATCCTTTTTTTTTAAACAGGAGTTTATCCCTTATTTTCCTTTGAGGTGCACCAATACATTGGTCCAATATTAGATTGGTGCTGATATAAAGAAAATTGGCTGTATCGGATATTGGCCTGATAAAAGCCCATGCTGCGCGCAGCCACAGCGTGGCACTCAGGCAGAGAGGAGCACAGCCGGCAGCGTGGTGAGCTGCCTCCAGCTGGTAAGTCCAGTGTGGTGGAAGGGCGGGGGAGATCACCCCCCAGCCCGTGGTGAGGGAGGGGGCAGGCACTGCCCAGGTAGGGCGGAAGGCCTCCTGCTGCTGCTTGCAACCTGGGAGGGCATAGGGGGTCATATGCCCCC